TTACAAAAAGCCTTGAAAAACATAGTACATGAATATGTGTTAAAACAGTGAGCTGAAGATCTACAAATAGACTGTTCTTTAAACATGTACATAAGTGTTTTTTTAAATAATTCATATATGTATTTAACAAACTGTCAGAAGCTATGCAATACAAAATTAAAACTGACAATGCTCTCAAAGCATTCTCTTAAGTATTTAGGTTGCCTACAGGGTATGTAAAACATAGAATATCAGCCCTGGCTTTCAGTTTCCCAGCTTGTAGTAGTTTACAGCAGTGAGTTAACTGCATTTTGTATGAAATAAAATAGAAGCAACTAAGATTTACACTATTTGCCAACACTTTGGTGAAAGAACAATAGAAAACAAGATTCAGAGTAAAACTTTATTGCCTTAAAAAGATAGCGTATCAACCTTAACGCAAAGAAAAAAAATAAAATATCTTCTGGTCAACACATTCTCATTTTATATTACTTCCCATTACCACATTTTCCTCTATTTTGAATAAGATCAGTTTCAGCTCCTGGTGCTCATAGGAATGACTTCAACTTCAGACTCCATTCTTGCTGCTTCTTATTCCTGCATAATAATTTCACTCGTTCTTGTTCTCTTCCTTGCAGAGACTTGCCCATCTCCACAACTTCAGACTTTCTTTTCCTTAACTGCTCTTCTTTCTCTCTTTTTTTAATGTTTTCCTTCTCCTTTTCAGACATACAGAAATATGTCTAGTAATAGCAATGCTCACTTCTATAAACTATTGGTGCCATTTTTCTTCAGAATAATTTATGACTTCACTTATTGTGTAAAAAGTTTGGTGTTCTGGTAAAGGTCTCTTCTTCGAAGTCAAGGAAAAACAACACAACAGAGCTGAATTAATATTGAGAGCTATAAAGATGCTTTTCTAGGCTAGCAATATAAGAAGGGAACATACTTAGGAGAGCTAATATTTGGGAATGAACAGCTGAAGTATAACTGACTACACACTAAACCTTCATTGTATAAACAGACACTGTAGCCAGAAAAACATACAAGCCAAGGGTATGCTGCCAATTTCAAAATTCAGATTTCTCCAGAAGCAAATCTCTATTAGCCACTGAAACAAGCCAGCTCCCAGACATGTCCAGTTGAATCCTTCAGATTGGACATAACGTGTTTTCCTCACAGCATCCCCTCATCTCTTCTTGTCTTAATTCCTGTTTCTTAACTTCAGCATCACACTATGCATGAATCAAAAACTGGCCTTCCCATTTCTTGCCTATTCACCTCATTGCATTTTCTACCCATTTTTCTTGAGGAGAGAGGATTTATTTTCCAACAGCGTGCTTTACCTGCTTGCTCTCCTTCAGTAAACACTAGCTGTACTTCCCTCACTTGCTATTTCTGCCAGAGGTTGTCCTACCTCTTCTCTTTCTTCACTTCACAGGGTTCTTCTGGAAAAGACTTCTGAGACTCCCAGTACTTCTTAGCATCTAGACAGCAAGAGATCATTTCCTTCATCCAGAGAGAAACTGTTAGTTAAGGAGAGGCTAGCTCATCTCTTCATTTCCTACTACCTCTTGTCCAGGCCCAGAGGATCCTCCCCTCTCCCAGTTCAGCTGCCTGTGCTCAAGGCCAGCACCCTGGCATGGAGCAGTATTTCCTCCAGGTCCAGACTGCTGAGAACAAGCTCTAAGAAACCACAAGGGGGATCTCCCCTCCCTCACTCAAGAACTGTGTCTAAGAAGAGGCTCTCACCCCTCGTATCTGCCTTCGTGATATTGTAGCCATGCCTGTGCCTGGCCATATCCAGACCCCGACCCACAGACTTGATATCGTTGCTTGACCTTGGACCTTCCTTGACAATATAGACTTCCCTGGTGGCTGCTGGCCTAGCACTGACACTGGTTACTGTCACCAAACCTGACCTGCTGACTCTGCTTTTCAACTTTATGTTGGACGTACCTCATTGCAATGGGTTTTTCTAGCTACCTGGACTTTTGGCTGAACTTAGCTACACACACCTCTGCTCACCTTGGTCAAGTACGTGGGGCCCTACCTGACTTGCGGTCACTCCCAGCTCTGCTCCCTTTATAGAGCAGCCTGCTCTTACTGTTCCTTGACACTCTTCTTGTGCTTCTGGCTGCTAGGGTCCTGAGGGCACAACTGAGCCCTGACCAGCCCTCCCTGCAATCCCCCACCAACCCCGCCCAAGGGCCTGGAGCTCTATTTAAGCTCAGACTGGGACTATCAGTCCTTTCTTTAGAAATGCTGTGGGATGCTGGTCTCCAGTTCAGCCACAGCCTGGATCTGGCTATGAGCCCTGCTGATCCAGATCTGCAAATGGATGTCCTGGCCTCAGCCCTGCCTCATTACTGTGAACCTGCCTGACGATCTGGACTCTTGGGGGATCCTGGCACCCTCCCCTAGCCTTCCTTGCTCAGCTACCACCAGGTGGGTCCTGGCCAGAAGGGCCTTGCTAGCTCTGGGGTCCCTCTCTTGGCTCCCTGGCCCTTAGGGAGCAGCTGGCCCTTGCCGTGTCCTGACAATGGCTTTGCTTCCCTTCCTGGTGTGCCCCCCTGCCCCCTTTTTGCCCCTTCTAATTTACTTGAGCTATTTGTTTAAAAAAACAAACAAAAAATAT